CTGCTTGAACTCCTAATAAACATTCATTAGTACACTATATTATTATTGCCCACAATCCTCATCTAACGTAATTCATTTCTATTCCCAATTACATACTTTCTTTCCAAAGTAAACACGTGATAATGTTTTAAAGTATATAAAAAACTCAAGATTTTTAGATCATTAGAATATTTATAATGAATTTATGAAATCTGAATGTTTTAGAAAATTTGATTGAAAAATATGAATTTATCTTAAAAATCGTGAGACTAATATCTTTTGATTGCTTTCATTTATAAGACTTTCTAAATACTTAAAATTTCTATTAGTTCTTCAACTTAAACCACAATATTTGGAAAATATGACATTTTAATCTCTTATAGTAGTTCACCATAAATCACTTTAGAAATAATCTCCAGGAAAGATTGGAGGGGTCACACACGGTCCCACTTACTATCCAACCTCCTTAGACATGACATCTCTTAGTGATTTCTTAGTACATACTACTTACCACCTTCACACTTAAAATTATCCCCAGGAAAGATGCGATGGGTCACAAACGGTTCCTCTTAAAATCCAACTTCCTTAGATATGAAATCTCTTAGTGATCTATTTGTGCATAGTTAAAATGTAACATCCCAGCTGCTCGGTCTGTCCCAATAACTATTTGGGTGTTCCTCCTTGCTGTACCCAAAATAGTTAACCCAAGTTATTACGCTTATAAACTGCTCACCAAAATCACACAGGACCGATGTGGGACAAGCCCACCTATGTGCTTTAACTTTGCGCACAACAAATTTAAAATAATTTTTTTTATTCATGGATACAATTAACTATTGGTTTCTGGGTATTACAATTTTAATTACCCAAATCAAATTAATTAATTGTGTCCAAAACATTCTTCTACTGGATTTTCTTCATTGGGCAACAAAGATTGTGGTGTTGCAACTAATATATTTTGTTCTAACTATTTAAAAGTATCCACTCTCCAAAAAGATATATTCCATCCGTCTCAAAATGATTATCTAATTTGATTTTCACTTTCAGTTTATATTATGCTAAAAATAAAAATTGAACCTGGACAACCGGTTTCAAATAGGAAGAGTACGTTTTTTTTTTTTAAAATATTTTTTCATCCTACAATCCACAATAAAGCATTGCATTGTGTAGAGAAATCTCCTTTTGTACAGACTTTTTGGAAACTTTTGAACCATCGAACTCTCTTATGAATTCTCTCTCATTTTAACTCAATCACTAGTAGAAGCAAATGCAAATTTTAAATCAAGATCACCACCAAACTCATTCTTGTACAAGAAATCAGAACCTTTTTTAAGTTTAAGCTAAAAAGAGATAAATTTGCCATGAATCAATGATGATGTAAAAAGAGGCAGGAGTTGAAGTGCACCTCGTGAGGAAAGAATAGCCGAGTATTAAGTGGGAAAGATTAAGGAAAAAGAAACAGACTAAACCTGTCACCAAGAGATATTGGAAGCACCTTTATAACCTTAATTCCCAAGAAAAATTTGGTGGAAAACTCTCCGCACTTTAGACCGGTTAGTTTATGCAATTTTGCGAACAAGGTTTTCACAAAGATTCTTACGGAAAGACTCAAGCTGAAACTGGACCAATTAATTTCAGAAGAACAATTCGCCTTCTTAGCTGGTCGAGACATAATGGATAATGTCCTTATAACTCAGGACCTGAGCCAATTCATTGATGATAAGGTACAAGGAAACAATATCACATTCAAGATTGACATGGTTAAGGCATTTGATCGGGTGTCATGGAGCTTTTTGAAGTCAATCTTAGAACCCTTTGGCTTCCCTCAAGGTTTAGTAACCATGATCATGGCAAACTTGAAACAAATTTTGTCCTCGGTACTCATTAATGGAGCTCCAGAAGGATTTTTCCAAGCTACCAGAGGGGTAAAGCAAGTCAATCCATTGTCGGCATATCTCTTTCTCTTGGTTTCGGAAGCATTAACGAGGAGGTTGAAGTATTTAACGGCTCAAGTTCTCATTGCCTATTATGACACTCTGGCCGGTTTTCTTCCAATGTCTCACTTATGCTTTGCCAACGATCTTATAGTGTTCACTCGAGGATTTAAGCAATCATAAGAAGAGCTAATTATGTTTTTTTCCAATTTCAAAATTTTTCCGGCCAAAAAGATAGCAAGCCGAAGAGTTTTTTCCTAGTCTCGGGAAAATACTCAATTCAATGGAATAATGTGATCATCAACGCAACAGGGATGGAACAAGGGATTTTTCCTTTAGTATATCTTGGATGCTAGATTTTCTAAGGAAGGAAGAAAACTTCTCATTTCCAACATCTTCTTGATGCTTTCGATGCTCGATTATTGAACTGGAAAAGCAAGTTACTTTCTCAAGGGGAAAGACTTCTGTTGATCCAACGTGTGCTATCATTCTTATTCATTCTTTTGCGGCTATAGAAGCTCCTAAGTCCATACTCAAGTTGCAGGAATCTAAATGTCAAAAATTTGTCTGGGCTCCTCGGAAGATTGGCACAGATTGGCATGTCCAATTGCAAAAAACGGCCTTGGTCTTCAAAAGTTCAAAGATGCAATGAACTCTTTCTATGCAAAACTGTGGCTGAAAGCAAAGAAAAAGAAAGCCATTTGGCCGAGATTCATGTTATCTCTCTCGAAAATATCAAGGAAACACACCTCTTGGAAGAGAGTTATGAGAATTGATCATGTTGTATCCTTGAAGTCCAAATATTGATCTCTAATGGAGAATGCAGATTATGGTTAGACAATTGGTCGAATATGGGAATATTATGGGATCAAGCGGGAATGCCATCAGCTGCTACCTTGTCTGTTCGTTAGTTGTTCGAGGAAAAATAGTACTAACTTGATCTCTTTCAGCTGGTATTATTGGACGCGTCTTATCTATACTTGCTGAACATGAAATTCGATTTTTCTGAAGTCGAAGACGACCTCATTTGGACTCCGACTTTAGAAGGGTTTTTCTCTATCTCCTCAGCTCATGAAGTTTTCAGAAGTCATCAAGAAGATTTGTTATCTAGCTTCTTTTGGAACAAGCTTATTCCGATTCGAATTTCAGTATTTTTTTTGAAAACTTAAAATAAGCTCCTTCTTTTTCCAGAGGTCCTAAGCTCTTTTGGTTTTCATACTTTCCCATCGCATTGTCCTTTCTGTAAAGCTGAAGATGAAAGCATTAATCATATTTTCGTTCAATGTTCTTTGGTGGCGGGGAATTTTTGAATCCATTTCTTCATTGATGGGTGTTTCTTTGCCAAATACAGTAGGTCCTTTGGCTCTAATGCAAGCATGGTGGTCTTTGGGAAGCCTTTCTTGAGCTTCTAAATCTTCACTATATGGGAGGTTTGGAAGGCCCGAAACAAATGCTTCTTTGAGGGAGTTGCTTTTTTCAGCAAATCGTGTATTTATTTTTTAAATCAAGGCGAGTATCACTAATTTGCTACTAGTACATAAGTACCCACTGTCTCACAACGAAGTTTTCTGTCTGTTCACTGGACTCCTCCGCAGGCCGGTTTCTTTACTCTTAACACTTATGGGTCTGCTCCGGGTAACCCTGGTCAATCAGGTTTTTGTTTTGTTATAAGGGGTGAAGGTGGTTTTTTTTCCTGTCTATGGTGAATCTTTTTATTTGGGAGAAGGTACAAGTAAAGGTGCATAAATATTGAGTGTTCTCCATGGATAGCGTAAGTCTGCTGATCTAGGTTTGGGTAGAGTTTTGGTGCAAACCGATAGCTCTCTTGTTATAAAAATGCTAAGAAAGGCGGAAGTTATTCCTTGGAGATATCGTAATGATTTGAAGGAAATTTTGACAATTCTGCCGAGGGATCACTATACCATTTACCATATATATAGAGAAACTAATTTAATAGCAGATTGATTTGCCAGACGCTTCATTGGGGATAACTTTCATTTCTTATAATGTGCAAGACTTGCCTTCATCACTAAGAAGTATGCTAACGCTTGTAAATTTTCATCTTTGCTTTTGTACCGGCATCCTTGGTGGGAGTTTCACCAGTAAGGTGGTACGTCTAAGAACCAATGGTCATTAACCTGCATTCTTGGAGAAGATCTCACCAGGTCTTCGGTGAGCAATAGTAAGGTGGTGGGATCATGAGGGAGAAGAAGTTCAGGGATGTAATTTATCTTTCTTTGCTCCTTATACTCAGACATGACTGTTGAGGATCATCTTTAATACTATGATCAAGAGGTATGCGCATATAGGCAACATGAAGAATGTTTTATTCTCAGGGAGAGAACCATCTTGTGGATGGAGTGGTTACCCTCTTATTAGATATATAGAAAAGGGAGAAGTAGGGCAAATTGACTAATAATGTTATTCTTTACTTGCTCTTACAATAAATATTGTTATGGAGATTAAAAAAAAAAAAAGGCTCAGGAGATTGAAGAACTACACAGGCCTTCAGGGGTGGAGAAGTGGAAGATTAGCGGCCGACAATGGTGGGAACGAGCTAAGCTAAGATGACATATTGATCGTTCAATTGTTTGAAAGAAGCTATGTGTTGGAAGGAGAGAATTATAAAATTTATTTACACCTATTGAAAGCAGTTACCACAAAAGTCACGTGACAGCTCTATAAAAGAAATTTTCTCGCCTAAACTCTCGAAACAATACGACGTCGTTTTGGTTTATTAAGAAAAATGAAACTCATAATTTTAGGGATAATCTTAAAGTTACCTTTGAATAATTTGATTTGATGAATCAATTATTATCTTCCCAAATTTAATTTTCTAATAATTAGATTCAAAGTAAAAATATCATCAACAATAAAATATATTTTTTTTTTCATTGTTACATATTCTGCTCTAAACAAGTCCTGTTAAACAGGCCCGGGCAATGGCCCGGGCTGATAAACTAGTCTATAATGATAGAATTAACACAAATAAAATCCTAATGGTGGAGAATAATAATAACCAATGCAGATAAATTTGAAAATAAGTAAAACAAAAGGAATGATAAATTTGAAAAACAAGACACATGTTGTAAATGTTAAATTTGAAAGTGACAATGAATATACGTACAAATCTTTTAATTTAATCTGTATATGTTTCTTTAACAAAGAGCAATCTATATATTCAGCTCTCCTGATTTAAATTTATGTAATTATTTAATTTGAGTAAACATCTTACAAATAACATGATGATGAGATAGTTAAATCTAGGTTAAGACGACTTCTGCTTTTCTTCTTTGATTGTAATAGGAAATCAAAGCAATTGTTTAAATGACTTGAATTGGAGATGAGATGATCATCGAGCGACCATAATCTTCTGCGCTCTCCGCAATTATCACTGGTTGTTTCGTTCATAAATTCAGAAATTTCACTATGATTTTCAATTTCCACATCCGAGTGAATTTCATCTTCCCCGCCTTCTTCATTCACCTGTATTGGCATACTTATAATTGGTTATTGATTATAGTTCATAATTATTGTTCATTTGCTAATTGGATTCTATTTCCGTAAAAGTAATTCAATCACCTGCAAATTGTACACGGCTGGGCTTCTTGTTTCTTTCATTGTTTGTTTCTCTGTTTGGCTTTTCCCAATAAATTCCCTGCAATAAATAATGTCCATGTTTGCGATAGTGTGAGCATGAAGTTAATAAATGACTGGATCTCAACAAAATTATGGTATGGAGATTCTTTAATTAATTAAATATATGTTTCTGGTACGAAAAAAAGTATGGATTTTATTCATTATTTTCCATGGCAGATTAAATATACGTTTCTAGTACAGAAAATATACATTTCAAGTCCATTTAATTCACACACACACACTCACAAATAGCTCTACTTTTTCTTTTTGACCAACAAATTAATAACTCTGCTGTCATTTTTATTTAATGATTTTGTGACCTGAAAATGAACTAAAAATAGCAGTAACATACCTTGGAGTGCCCCAAGCGATTTCCTCTTCCAGCAATTTATTCACAATTGGTAGCGTTAGGTTAATTGTGGTCCTTTTCTTCGTGCTTCGATACATCTAGCGAACGTTTAACGTTAGCTTACAATGATAAATTTAGTACATCACAATGAATAGCATTTGAAGAATGCTAATTTGTGTTTTCTTTTTCTATGTTAAAAAAGAAAGAAAATCAGTTTAAAACTATCGAAATTAATATGAATTCCAATTATAATACACAACCAAAAAGGTTTTATTTACACGGATTACAAGAGGTACCGCGCACATAAATGTTTGATGTGGTGAAGAACAAATAATTGTGAGACGTGCAGTAGTTTTGAAAACATGCATGAGAAAATTTTTCGAGTAACAATGTACAGATTAATTAACTAACGGCAGTGTAATAGACAACTGCCAAAAAAAAAAACAATATATACAAAATAAAGAAGAACAATGCTTCTTCTTCCAAATAAATATTTTTGTTTCATAAAATAGAATATTACCTATTTAACACCAAGAAAAAAAAAGAAAAAACTAGAAAAAAAGATGATTAGGATTTAAGCTGGAAAGAAGTTGGAGTAAATCTAGAAATTAACTTCATTATTTAGTCTATGCTGTGCAACGTGAATGGGTATGTGTGTTTTTAGGTCATTTGTAGTAGCAACGATCTGTATCGAAACCCTAAGACAGAAGAATTCATGAACAAATCAAACAATGGCTTCAAAATGAAATTTTGGGAAAGCCTAAGTTCTTGTTTAGATCTCATGTTGGAATAGCTTAACAAAGGAATAAATTTTCTAATTAAATCTCGCTGCTCCAAAACGAATGTTTCAATTATGAGAACAAAGATAGCAAAATTTGTAATGAATAGCGTTATCTCGACTAGACAAAGTCATAAAAACATAGAGGCTATGTATCAAACCATAATTTTTTTTTTTTGGTAAATGGTAAACTTGTATTGATCAACTTCACAAACACAAACTACACAAATCTTTAATTACAAGTAATACTGCCTATATCACCTAAGTCCAGTCCAATGCTTTTTAAGTACCTATACTCCACCTCCTTCATTTTCTTGTTTTTTCAAACAATACAAGATTCTCCAAGTAATTTCCTGTTTTAGTCTACACCAACACACTTCTGATGATGATAATACATTCCTGAACCTCCTTCCATGGCTCTCTATCCATAGATGATAAATGGTAGCATTCAAAACAGCATACAAAATTCTCTTTATGTATGTCATTTTTATAGGAGTAAAGATAGAACCAGTGGAGATGCAAAAAATGTACAATCCTCATCTCATGAGCATATATATTTTTATTAGAAGATTAGGTTGGGGATTATTATTACCAGGAGGTCGATGTTTTGATTCTTGCTGGTCTATCCAATTTTTTTTTAAAAAAATGTATGTTAAAAATATAAAAACTTGTGTATTAGAAAGTTGAGAAAATTTTGAAAGAATACCTTAACTAAGTCTTTCCAGACAGAGCCTAGCGTAGCTAGCAAGTCTAATCTAACTAAATTTTTAAATTTATTCTCTTTATTAATTGTTTTTTTCCCCTGCTGTTTTTCTTTTTCCAGGTATAAAGGCTCCCTCAACTGTTTATTGTACAATTAGAGGTCTAAATAAGTCACATTTAAGTGATGTTCCCTTTATTCATTAGCTTGAAATCTCTTTGAGCAATTTTATAGTTTGTACTTGGAATTACAAATAATTACTAAATCGAACACAAATTTCGCAAGAGCTTTCTTCTGCATCTCCATTTTTCTACTGATATTTAAGCACGAAAGTACCTCAAATCTACCATGCAAGCTGATATATACAAATTTCTTCAGAATTATTTAACTTCATAGAGTTTATTTTCTAAATTCCTAGTGTAAAATCTGGTACCTTATAGCCAGGGATGAATTCCACGGATCAATTGGATAGAGAAAAAAAAAACAAAAACAGATCCATTGGAAACTTTTTCAACAATTATGATGAGCAGATTACAAAATAAAAATTGTTATCAGTTATAGGGGTGTGTGAACAAATATTTGAATCACAATAAATAAAAATGATTCATTTAGGAAGAACCAAAAATAACATATACGATCATTTAAATGAATTTATATACCTGCAAATGACTTTTAACATGAGACATCTCAAGTCCTCTTACTCCCATCACTTGCACAATTCTCTTTGGTGTTGCTTCTGCATACAAATATATGTTTCTTCAATGATGAATAAAATCAGATTAAATCACGCGTGTTGGTCCTTTTGTAATGAACCGGACAAACTGAACGGAATCAATCTTTGTAAGACTTTGCCCGCCTCAACTAAATTGGAACAAAAAAAAAAAAGAAAGAAAGAAAGAAAGAAAGAAAAGTGTGGGACTACTGATAATCCGAAACATGAAGAAGATTGGAGAGAAGTTAGGTCTAGAAAGCAAAATAAAAAGATCAATAGCTGGTGTTATTTCCATACCATTACTTTGAGTCAAGACTACTAATTAAAGAAAATTTATGTCATGCAACACAACTTGAAGCTTACTATGTTTTCCACCAAGGTTTTCAACAGCTTGAACAAAGTGGTCATGGAGTTCCGGCGTCCACCGGAGACGAGGAAGATCCGATTTCTTGTAGTGCCTAACAGTAGAAGCTTCCTTGTAAGAATTCTCCATCTGGCTTTCAAGTTTGTAAATGATGAGAAAGAAGGCCAAATATTAAGGTAGATATATAGGTAGCTAAATGTATAGACCATCTACCACATGGGGAGAATTAAGAGATAAGATGATTTTTTTTTTAGCATAGACTTTTGTTATCGCCTCCGCAGACTTTCTTACAACATTCTCAGTTGCCACCCCACAAAAGGGAAAAAAAGGAATGAATCAACTAACTTGTTGTATAATTGTTTAATTATTAGTTTGAAATTTTGTCACATTTGATTGGACTTTTTAAAAATAATATACTGCTAGTTCTATAATTTTGTTGAGGGATTTCCTTCTTGTTTACTGCTTTTTTGGACTTTTAAAATCTCAACATTTGGACGGGGTGTTAGGTAGCTTATGTTTGTAAAATTTCTATGTTACTCCCTCCGGCTCGAAATTATTGTCCAATTTGTGTTTTTATTTTTTGTTTATATTATACTAATAGTAAAATTTCTAACCGGACAATAATATTTAGACTGATGGAGTATATAACACAATTCTAAATGACAGAATAATATAATTTATTCTTTCAATTTTGTGTCAGCCAGTTTTGAATTGGATGCCTCGATCATTAAACAGTGACTTGGTTTACATTTTCGCATCTGGCTTCGAACTAGGTTTCTTGTTTGAAAAATTCATTCAATCCAAGATACTTAACAAGGAGTATGTTAACTACTTTCCGAATGAGAATCTTACCGTTGGATCAATTATTATCTTACGTTCTATAATACTTTGATCAATGCTCCGTTCGTTCTGTTTTAAATAATATATCTTACGTACTATAAGACAATTTTAATTTATACTAAATATTACCTAAGATGCCTTTTTAAGTAATTGAAAGAAAAATCTAAAAATATTTCCTAATAATTAGAAGAAAACAACGAATGTGAAAATATATTTTGAAGGTTTTTTTTTTCAATTAAATAGACATCACAAGTAAAACATAGGAAAAATCAAAATGCCTTATAACAACGGATAGACTAGTACCTACAACAAACATGATTCTTAAGAATTGAAAGAGTGAGATGTTGTCCTAAACAACGTTTCTTGATAGTCGGGCTAAACAAGATCTATATCTGCCAAACTTTGTCCATGTACATAGCTAGCTGGACTTTTTTATTTTTATTTTTATCACGTTTCTTTAAAAGAAAGCCGTTCTTTCTCAATATGACCAAAAGTAATTATGTGAAGCCGAAATCTTAATCGCCCTCAATAATATCAAATGCATTTTGAATGTACAAAAAGGTTCCAATCATTCAATCTTCATCTTTAAAAGGGATTACCGCGTGTTACTCGAACAGCAACATCATGCATTGTTAGTTAATTACATTTGATTTCTTTCTTCCAAAAGACAAAGACATATCGATCATCTACAGCCCTTTTAGACACGTTTGGTTTTCGATTCTTGCATATATCATGGTTCTGATTTCCTATGATTGCCTTCATGGGAAAAAGGCAAAGGAATAATAACTGTATATATATTGTCCTTTAGTAAGCACGTTTTGAGATAAGGTTTCGTGAATTGAGAAGCTGAATATATATAGAGAAAATGATTGGTTTCATAACTTTACGTCATGGCTTGTGTGTAACGTCGACTTGTTGAATAGATGCAGAGATCTGGTCAAAACCAGGAATAAATGCCATATATTCAATTGAATTGACGAAATTCATGTTATGGGAAAAAAAAAAAAACAGAAGTACAAAATTCAACTCCGTATATGGTTTGAACGGGCTTTTTTAATGTAGTATTTTAGTCCTCAAATTCGGTTCCCGTTGTCAACTGATGCATATGTATGTTTGAGAATCGATAGCATTAATGTTAAATAATAATAAAATTTAAAAGCAAAAATAAAAACAGTAAAAATTTGCGTTTCATGAATAAGATCGGAACAAGTAAAGAATTTTTAAAATTTGTTTGGTGACTAATGTACAATATTTCAAACCCTAGCTAGCTAGGACAAGTAGCATTATCTTCTTCCATTTTTTTTACTATAAAAACAGCAGTTAAAGTTCCATCATCAACAATAAATGGCCGGAAAGGAAAGCAAACCGAATTCCGTCAATAGGATCTTTTATAGTAATCACTTATGTTTTGATTTTTTTGTTTTTTTTGTTTTGGGTATATCTCTAATTTCCATCTGTTTTTTTTCTTTTTTTTTTTTTTTCTCGAACATCATTTTCATGTGTCAAAGGCGGTGCCTACTCTTTGGGACCCCATATGCATGTGTTGCCGTGTTCAACACTAAATTCTCTTTCATTCCAAAAATTCAATTTGACTGGAAAACAAAAAGGGAGCTACTTTCATATTTATCGCTGGTATACTTGCTCTTTTTCATTCAAACAAATTGGCAATTTCTGTCTCATTAAAAAGCAACAGTTCTTCAAGTGCGACTTTAAAATCTATGAAAAAACTACGTTAATTAGTTAAATTTTATCATATATTTATTGATCAAAAACTGTAGCTTCCCCATAAAACCTAGAATACTTTCATTCATCAAAGAGTAGAAGAGGGGTCCATTCGAAATCTTCATGCATTAAGGTTTCTAAATCTAGTGAAGGTCAACAAGAACTTGATTTGATATATTAATAAAGATATTCTCCTTTCCTAAATATATATTCCCTCCATCCCACAAAAATAATCCACATTGAGTTTTGAGTTTTGTAATATTTTTAGTACAAATTTGAAAACTCAATATGGACTTTTTTTTTGGAATGGAGGTAATATGTCGTTTTAAGGTTTTCAAAAATTTTTAAAATATATGTCGTTCTAAAAATTGAGGCAATTTTTACCTTAATTTTTTTCAATATTACTCTTGCACTAAAAATGAAAGAGTATTTAAATTAAGATTATATTAGTTGGTGAAAGGATTATTTTTATATTTTAAACACATTATTTGTAAGTGTTTCATTATGAAATTGCTACAAAGACTATATATATTATAATGGAGGGAATGTATTATACTTTTACGATGTCAATCCATGTTCAAACCACAATACTATAGACTTGCAACATTTCTTAAAATACTTGTTTAGAAAATTTTGTATCTTGAAATGAATATACTTTAATTCAAATATGGATTAATTTGAGTGTGATAGATGGTGCTTAGAATTATTTTCAAAGTTCTTAAAAAAAGAATGAAGATATATAATTTGAATGTATCACTTTTCTGCATTGAGATAACTAAAATACAACATTGGATCGTCTTTATTAAAAGAATAGTGAAAAGTTGTAAGAAAAACTTTCACGGAATGATATGTTTTAAATCTAAACTATCCCTTTAGAAGAGGTTTGAAGTTTATGAGTAAATTGTTAATTGTACTAAAATAATACCCTTTTTCCGAAAATACCCTTTTTTTCTCTCTAGCCTAAACCCTAGTTGTGACGGCGGTTGGAGCATCGGCCATAATGGCTGGAGCTCAAGGATCGGCGACGCGGCAAGAGCTATCTAGATCATTTGCTAGTTTCTTCAAGAAGCCTGATGATGTATCAATCCGAAAAGACTCTTTAATTAAGGAGATAAGGTTCGTCAATGGCACTCCAACTTTGGAGTTTGAAGACGATGAATTGGAGAAACTAATTGCCCCTCATAGTTTGTGCTTGGTTGGAAAAATTTTTTATGGGAGGCCGAAAATGGAGGAAATGCACAACGAACTTAAGAAGATCAGTTTCAATGGTGGCTACACATTGGTCTTATGAACCCTAGGCACGTGGTGATCCGTTTTGAGTAGGAAGATGATTATCAACATTGTTGGATAAGGACGTTCTGGAATATAGGTGGATTCTCAATGAGGATTTTGAAGTGGACTCCGGATTTCCGTTTCGAAGAAGACCCACTGGTGGTGCCTATTTGGGTTTCTCTTTATGACTTACCCATTGAGTACATGCATCCGGAGGTGATTTACACGATGGCTACTGCTTTAGGCCAGCCTTTGAAGGTTGATACACCCACCTTGAACATGACTTGCCCCTCTGTCGCGTGTTTTTGAGTTGAAATTGACCTAACCAAAGATTTGCCAAAATTGGTTAGGGTTGGAAAGAAGGGTTGTAAACATGACCAATTATTTACCTTTGAGCACATTCCGTCTTACTGTGTTAAATGAAGTAATATTGGTCACAAGGATTCGGAATGTTGGATAGGAAAGCCTCTTCAATGGAGTAAGATGTTGAGCCCACAATCGTGAAGAAGAAGGGGATTAAACTAGCTCTGTCGAAACCTAAGCGGTCTTTCAAAGGAGGGAGTGATAAGCCTGGTTTGGATGTAGAAATTCTGAATTCAAACCCTTTGATTGGTAAAGGGATTGAACCAGAAGTGATGGAGTTGTCTGTTCCTTCATCGCGCCCTGTGAAAACCCTAGATTCTCGCGCCCTTGAAGCCGAAGTTGCGGAAACCCTAGAGCAGCGACAAGTTGAATCGACTTCTGGTTTGACGATGAAGGAGAAGGAGCTAATCTTGATTGATCTTCAGCCGTCTCCTGAAAGGAGTGAATTGGTGCCTCAATCAATGATCAACCCAAATCCTCCGCAAACAGGAAATATGTCTTTGGCGCTGCAAGGTTTGGATGAAGGCGATAATGAATTGCCTCTGGAGAAAGACAAAAGTGCAATCGCAACTACTGTTTCCTCTGAAATACTCCCTGCTACGGTGACCAAAAATTGTTTTGCAGCGCTGGAAATGATAGAAGAGGTGGTGAACGAAGTTGTTAGTGTGGATGAGGAAGAGTACGTTGAAGATGTGTATGCCAAAAACCCTCCTACTCAGCATGAACTTCAGAATGATACTGAGCTAGATGGTGCCTCCCAAGAGGTACTGATGCTTGAGAACTTGAGTCCCTTGGAATCTGGAAAATGTTCGGACGATGGTGACATAGGCAAAGTCTCTAAACCTGTGGAAATGGAAGATGTTAACAGGGCGTCTGGTCAGATGGTGATGCCGACAACGTTCATGTAGGAAGACAAAGTGAAAATGCAAGAAATGTAAGGGGAGTTGGCCCCAAGGCAGTCTTCGAGGCTACAGTAGAAGGTTGCGTCCTTTATATATTTTTCTTAATGTTAAGTCCAATAATTTGGAACATTAAAGGAATAAAATATCAAGCATTGCAGCAACCTTTGAGGACTCTCATTCAATCATATAGAGTTTCCTTTTTTAATAATTTTGGAGCCTATGCTGGGTTCGGATCCACTTAAACGCATTAGGAGAGAGTTGAATTTTGATACGGCTTTTGCTTCCAGTACTAGCAAGATTTGGGTGTTTAGTCAGCGTGAGTTCTCAGTAACCATGTTGGGGGAAGATGTTCAGGTCTTGCATTTTGAAGTATCTCATGCCAATGTTGCTGAAAAATTCTATCTCTCGGCGTTGTATGCTAAAACCTAGTCTCGACAGTCATTATGGAGGAATCTGATTGCATTTCGATAGAAGTATGCGAATTCTCCATGGATGGTTACTGGGGATTTCAACATAATCCAATCATTAGACTAATATTCAAGTGTTTCTGTACAGGATCATGTGGCTATATCTGAATTTAATGACTGTATTTTTGAATGCAATCTTCTTGAGCTTCCGACAACGGGAGAAGAGTTTACATGGGGCAGAACTAGAAGTACAAGATGGGTGAGCAAAAAACTTGACAGGGTTTTGATCTCCAACAAATGAAATGACTTTTTTCCTCTCTCTTCAGTGGAGAATTTGAATAGGGCTACCTCTGATCATAGTCCTTTGTTGCATTTATTTGCTGCGCAAGGTGAAAGCAAACCGAAGATTTTTTAGGTTTCAGAAAATGTGGTTACGTTGGGACGATTTTAAGGGGATTGTTAAAGATTGCTGGGATCAACCAATGGAGCAAACCGGGATGCTTCATTTCTCCTTGAAACTCAGATGTTTAAAGTTGAAACTAAAGGAATAGAATAAGGAGGTGTTTGGGAATGTATTCGAAAATTTGAAACTTGCGGAAGAGAATGTGCAGCGTCTTGAAATTATTCATGATTTATCAAGGTCAGAGAATGATAGAATCAATCTTAATGAAGCTAAGGCTAATTTGCTTCGTAAGATTAAAGAACATGATGAATTTTGGTCTCAAAAGATGAAGCTCAAATGGTTAAAAGAGGGGGATGCGAATACCACATTTTTTCATGCGACTTTAAAGGAGAGAAGAGTCAAGCAAAGTATCATTAAAATCTAGGCTGAAGATGGCAGAATGTTAACCTCTAGTTTTGAGATTGAACATGTGGCGGTGAGGTTTTTTACAAGCCTTTTAAGTGAAGTAGATGATGAAATGAATGGGGCGGACTCTCAGGAATTATTTTTGGAGCATATTCCCTCCATTTTTGCTTCTGAAGATGTTGCGTTATTGCTGTGAGAGATTACATTAGAGGAGCTCAAGGAGTCGGTTTTAAATCTGAGTGAAGATAGTGTGCCAGGTATTGATGGTTTTGGTGGAATGTTCTATAGAGCTTGTTGCGACATTGTTGCAAATGACCTTTTGTTGGCTTGTTGTGGATTTATGTTCGGTGTTCCTCTACCTAGAGCTATCTCAAGCACTCTGATTACTCTTATCCCGAAGAAAGCTATGGTGAATACTTTTTCGGATTATAAACTCATAAGTCTATGCAATTTTCTAAATAAAGTATTTACTAAAATTCTCACTGAAAGATTGAAAAAGGTTTTGCCAAAACTTATATCGGAGGAATAATTAGCTTTCTTGGAGGGCCATGATATATTTGATAATGTGTTGTTAGCACAAGATTTATGTCAGTTTCTGAAAAGGAAGTATGGAGGGAGGAATTTTGTTCTTAAATTGGACATGATGAAGGCATTTGATAGAGTAAAATAGATTTTTGTGAGAAAATCTTGATTAAATTTGGGTTTCCACAGGCCTTTGTTCTCTTGATCATGAACAACCTGCGAAGTAGTTGGTTCTCTATCTTGGTTAATGGAGGTCCGGTTAGCTTTTTCCAGTCATCTCGGGGTATAAAACAAGGAGATCCCTTATCTCCATACTTGTTTATATTGGTTTCGGAAGCTTTGTCAAGAAGGCTTAATGCTTTAGTGGAATCTGGAAGAGTAGCAGCTTTTGGGTTCCTTCGAGCTCAATGATTGTTTCTCATCTTGCATTTGCAGATGATCTTATAATTTTCTAGTGGGGTTTGAAGGGATCTCTACATCGACTTAATGCATTTTTTCTTGAATATGAAAAAACTTCTGGCCAGCGAATTAATAGACAAAAGAGTTCGTTCATGGTTGCTGAAAATTGTCTTGTGCAACGGGTAGACATTCTCCAAACTGCTTTGGGAATTCAGAAAGGGGGCTTCCCTTTCATTTACCTTGGATGTCGTCTATTTCCGGGAAGGTGCAAGGCTTGTTTTTATCAATTTCTCTTGGATAAACTGAATAATAAGCTTTTGTGCTGGAAGAATAAACTCTTAAGTCAAGGTGACAGGCTCATATTAATCAAACATATCTTGGCCTCTATACCAATACATGTTTTTGCTGCCATTCCGCCGCCAAAGGCAATTGTCCAGGAGATGGAAAACATTTGTCAGAGATTCTTGTGGCGTGGAACTAGTGAAGAAAAGAGGAGACATTGGCAGGCTTGGGATAGGTTGACTTATCCAGTCTTAGAAAATGGCTTGGGTATTTGAAGTTTCCATGACACTATTGAAGCATTAACAGTTAAACTCTGGTGGAAATTGAAGCAACAGAAGGGTATATGAAGTATATTTCTGAGTTCCTTATCTTTTCCATCACGGGATATTACATCATGGAAGAGAATCATGAAGGTGGAGCAGCGTGTGATCTCCCATACAAAGGTCATTGTGCGAGGAGGGAATAGATCCTTTTGGTATGATAATTGGTCCCCCTATGGTACTCTTTGGAATGATCTTCATGAAGAACTTCCTTTTCCGAAGCTAAGTATTAAAGAGTTCTTCCATGATAAACCTTTTTACTTGAGTATAGTTCAAGATGTTCTTCCAATTCATATCCTTCATGAAGATGATTTGTTTTTTTGGCAGCGAACATCTAGTGGAACTTTCACAGTCAAGTTGGCTTACGAGGTAATGCGGCGTAGGCTTACGGAGGAGAGTTTGATGAAAAATGTGTGGAACTCGCTTGTCCCTATGAAAGTATCAATTTTTTAGTGGAAGTTGCGGAATCATTTGTTGCCTTTCTCAGAGATTTTGAGCAGATTTGGAATCCAAATATTGCCTTCAATTTGCTGCCATTGTTTGGGGCATGGTGACGGGATTGAACACACCTTCTTTGGGTGTCTACAGAGTCGAGAAGTATGGTTGTATTTTGCGTTTTGCTCCGACTTAATATGAGAGGAGTTAATTCTCTTGCTTCAATGCTTAGAATGTGGTGGAGGGAAGGAGACATTAAAACAGCTCAAGGTGCTTTTCGTAAGATCCTCCCTTCACTTATACTTTGGGAAGTTTGGAAGTCGCGCAACAAGGTGATCTATGATGGAGCTCAATCTAGTGTTTAGTGCATTATTCATGCCATTATGGATCACGTTCACTCCATTATGATGATCTATAATCTGAAAGTTCAAGGTGATGAAGAGAGGGAGTTTTTCAAAGCGACGCTTGGAATAAACCTAAATCAAATTATTCGAGCTAGGGTTTGGAAAGTAGCTTGGGTACCGCCAGCAGCAAATTACTTCATTCTGAATATGGATGGATCAGCACGTTTAAATGATGCCAGATATGGATTTGTAATCAAGAAGGAAGGTGGAAATTTTATGTATGGGGAAAGTGGATATTTGGGAGAAGGTGACAACTTCAAAGCTGAAATTATTGGAGCTTTATTCATGCTCAGGAAATGTGATTCGCTAGGGCTTAACAATGTTACGCTCCAAACGGATAACAAGACTTTAGCTGATATATTGAAGTTAGAGAAGGGTTACTTGTGGAATTATTAGTCTATTTTGCAGGAAATGATTTTTATTATTCAGAAGAATAATTTCAAGTTTTGCATATATACAGGGAGGCTTATTCAGTTGCGGATAGATTAGCAAAATGTACATCTAATGGCTCCTCAAAAATGTACTCTAGTTTAGAGTCTTTACCACGAGTTGTAAAAGGGTTATTGATACTTAATCAATCATCCTTTCCATATATTAGAACTCGCTTTGTTTGATGTATTACAGGTAAGTTTTATGCACTGCCGGCTTTGTTTTCTTTGAGGAACATTAATAAAATCATGAGGAGGGATGAATCTAGGGAACTATATGATATTTATGTCCATCCCTTGGGTGTACCCCTTGGGTGCATAGTATCATATAGCACTGATTGGCTTATAAAATAGCTTTTGGGTATACCCCTTGCAGTATTTTATAAATCAATTGGGACCTGAAATAGTCTCATATCCTCCTTTCTTTGCTTAAAAATAGGTTCGAAGTTTATGAATGTGTAGGAAAAATGGTTTGATTTTTCCTTTCATTGCAAAAGAAAAAACAAACGTAATGATTAATCTGAACATGTTTATACTTCCGCAAAACTTTAACAAAACATCCTTTTTCAAATCTCTGCCCCCAAAACAACAAAAAAAAAAGGACCTTTAACCAACATGGGTTTCATTGGAATTTTTGTTTGTTGAATGCTTTCTTCCTTCAACAAACATTGTCCGTCTTGCAAGATCAGTCATAATGATCATCTCCAATAAATATATATACATATATGTATGGATGGCTTCTACTTTATTGTATTGTATTAGTTTCATAAAATGAAATACTCCACACTTTGGAGCTTTTCCACCTTTCAAATAATAGCCCTCTACTTTCATCCTCCCTAAATAGGGTATTAACGGAAGCTCCCTTTCCAAGAGTCAATTCTTCTCATTGGAGACATGTGGAATCCTTCTTAGAAACCCTAATAACCTTAGTCTGGCATTTTTGCTCGCCCTGATGTTGCCTTTTTATGTTCTACACGTTTGTTCATGCATACAGTAGCTTG